GTCCAATAAGATACGGAACGGTAGGATATAACACTCCATTAGTCCAATAAGATACAGAACAGTAGGATATAAAACTCTAATTCATTTCATTAGTCCAATAAGATACAGAACGGTAGGATATAACACTCCATTAGTCCAATAAGATACGGAACAGTAGGATATAACACTTCATTACTCCAATAAGATACAGAACAAAAGGATATAAAACTCTATTTCATTTCATTAGTCCAATAAGATACAGAACAGTTGGATATAACACTCCATTACTCCAATAAGATACAGAACAGTAGGATATAACACTCCATTACTCCAATAAGGTACAGAACAGTAGGATATAACACTCCATTACTCCAATAAGATACAGAACAGTAGGATATAACACTCCATTACTCCAATAAGATACAGAACAGTAGGATATAACACTCCATTAGTCCAATAAGATATAGAACAGTAGGATATAAAACTCTATTTCATTTCATTAGTCCAATAAGATACAGAACAGTAGGATATAAAACTCTAATTCATTTCATTAGTTCAATAAGATACAGAACAGTAGGATATAACACTCCATTACTCCAATAAGATACAGAACAGTAGGATATAAAACTTTATTTCGTTTCATTAGTCCAATAAGATATACAACAGAAGGATATAAAACTCTATTTCGTTTCATTAGTCCAATAAGATACGGAATAGTAGGATATAAAACTCTATTTCGTTTCATTAGTTCAATAAGATACAGAACAGTAGGATATAAAACTCTGTTTCATTTCATAAGTCCAATAAGATACAGAATAGTAGGATATAACACTCTATTTCATTAACTCAGTAAGATGCAGAATAGTAGGATATAACACTCTATTTCATTAGCTCAATAAGATACAGTATAGTAGGATATAAACTCTATTTCATTAACTCAGTAAGATACAGAATAGTAGGATATAACACTCTATTTCATTAGCTCCATAAGGTACAGAGCAGTAGGAAATAAAACAATATTGTTTAAAACTGTTCTTTGCTTATTCTCCAGATACAGGATGTGGTCGTCCTCTAGGAATAGCTTCAGGAATTGTCCAGGATTTCCAGTTTTCTTCCTCGTCGACCAGTGAGGAGAAGATTTACCCTTATCATAGTAGATTAAACAGACAGACTGGATGGTGTGCTAATTCAGATGATCCTGAACCTTATATACAGGTCAGTCTCTATTTGAACACCTGATACCACTGACCTTCCCAATAACTTCTGAAGTAAATCAAGGCTAGTTTACGAAAACACAGTAAATTGTGCTGGAAGACCGGTTCATAGTTAAGCTGCTTTGACGTTAGTCGTCTAATCGCATGAGTGAGCTATATTAACACAAATTTCAAACTTTGTCCAATATTTCTAAAACCTCCAGTCTCGACAGTTGTCTCCCCAGTCTGCCCTCTATTTCTACCCCCAGTTTCGGGAGGCTGGCGCCGCCACTGTTTACAACTTCTATCTTTCTCCATCTTCCAGGTTGATTTGATAGCTCCTATGTTACTGAATGGTATTATCATACAAGGTTGGGTCGAGAACACAGATGGTATACTACCGGTATCCTTTATTCTTCTGTATGGCGTTCTCATGGATAATCTGACTGTATATCGTGATAATGAAAACAAGGTTCATAGATATTGTCTATTGGTAAAGTCTTGCAATCTCTAACAGTCTACGACATACAGCATTAAAGCAGTGTCATGTATGTAGAATTGCCAGTTAGAGCGTTGGGTCTTTACAACATAACGTCGAACAAATGGCTTTTGTGGTTTCAAATTTCGGTCGGCGTATGATGATCTGAATAACCTATCTTAACTCATAAATCCAGTCGACCCAGCTGTGAATGGGTACAATCCGGGACAGATCAATGCTAAGAGGTTTTGCCAATGACTAGCAGGTGGAAAGTATATTTGTAAACCTAATGAAATATAGTGTTTCTTTTCTGTGATTTGACTAACTTTCTATTTATTTCAGCAATTCACTTTAGATAATTCCACCATACCAGATTATCCACAGACGTTTTTATTACCCCGACCAGTAACAGCTCGGTATGTCCGAGTCCAGATAACACAGTTCACTGGTAAACCTTGTCTGAAATGGGAATTACTTGGTTGTCCCAAACGCGGTAAGATTTTAGATTTTAGATAAACTATTTGTTATTTGAGCTATTATGAATCTATGATCCTTTCTGGTTTCACGACAAGGACTTAAGAGAATCGATTCTCATCCCCCTTTCTTAACACCAACGATTTTTGAGAAGCCATTTTTTTTTAAATCTATGTATTCAAACTTTCGTTCAGTTTCCTTTCGTAAATGATACATGCTTAGTCCCTGTTAATATGGATCATTACAGCAATGCAAGACGGATCCAGAATATTTGACAAGATTCTCAAAGCGTTCAGTTTTTTATGTTACATATTTTCAAATTCAGTGGAGTTAGATTTAAGCTGCAGCAATTCCAGTAGTTTCATTGGCTGGCAGGAACTTCCGGGTCACGATTTCTACATGGAGAAGGTTGGAGAAAACAGAACTCTGACAGATTTGAGTAAAGAGAGTTGTAAAGAAGCTTGTTTATCTTGGTATTTATCATGTCGTACTGCTACTTACAATTCAAAACATCGCACCTGTTCCTTAAAGCTTGGTCATAAATACAGTCGCCACAACTTCCACTGGTATCTACGTGGTACATCTTTAGATAATGTTTATTTAATGCCTATGTGTTTTAAAGGTAATTCTTTAAACTTTACTAAACTTTCTCTAGTTCTAGTAATACTTAATAATAATTTGATTGAGACTCCTCTACAGTCTGACGAGAGTTTCGCTCGTTAGTGCTGTTTGTCAGAATAATTTATCTTAAACTGCAACCTATTTACCTAAACTGTTTCTTTAATACTGTCAGCCTAACATCCTTCAACTACCTAACCTTCCAATTGACTACAACCACCACGACTGTCAATATCTATCTGGATGCTAACTTTTAACTCTAATTCTTTTTATATATATATATATACCTCCCATTCAGTGAGTCCACATAGCTCATGTTTATTTAATATTAAAGTTTGCTATATTTGTATTTATCAGATATAAGCCCAATGCTAGAATGTGGTGGAGAAGTAAGAACAATAGGAGAATTATCCTCCCCTGGTTATCCGCTGTATTATGGCGAGTTTATCAACTGTACCTGGTCAATCATTCTACCACCTGGTCAATATGTCCAGGTCGACCTAGTAGATGTTAGCCTTGCTGAACCAGAAAAATCACCACAGGTACTAGACCGAAAGGTCTGCCTCTGACAGATAGTTCTACTCCAGCCGACAACTTTCAAAATAACTAAACTAGAGGCTGGAATAGAGGCAGATGTTTCGGACTATACAGCTACCTGCTTTGTTTTACTTATACTACCACCTGAAAGACTCTATCGATTGTTATCTTGAAGATCCAAAATATCCAGAGAAATCACCACAGGTACACAAACACATTCATTGTTATGAATCGTGCGAAGTCGAAGACGAAAGGAAACGGTTTAAAATATCCACAACATTATCTCTGCAACACGACTGTAATTTTCTTCGTTTCTTCAACACATCCAAAGCTATCGCATATATCTATCGTGCAGCAGATAGACCTCGTTGCGACCAAAAATTGCCATCATTTAGTCCATTGTAGATGTATTTCCAGATCGGGTTATACAAACCAAACATGGCCAAGTGTACAGATGAGTTCGTGATATACGACAGAGGTCTTGTTTATCCTGAAATATTTAAACTTGATGGAGGGCATAATCGGATTAACCCAAGATCCCGGCTCATCTCGACATCAAACACAATTGAAATCAACTTGGTATCATGCTACAGAGTGAGTGAAACCAAGGCTAGAGGGTTCGTTGTTGATATCACCGCATCTGGTGAGTAAAATATTAGTTTTACTTTAATGAAGATTATATGATTATCAATTCTGTCATAAATCATGAGATGGACAAATATTACAAATCTGTTTCTTGCATTTTGGCTGATTTGTTTGATCAGACATAAATTGATCTATCTCATGAGCTATATATTAGTGGCGGTTGTCTTCCTATATTCCAGCCTCTGATGGGTATTTTGACAGTTGTCAGCTGGAGTAAGGGCAGCTGTTTCGGTCTAGATGTTGACTTATATTAGTGGCGGTTGTCGCGCGCTAAGCAGACCATGCTTACTGTTTTCGAAACACCTGATGGTACTTCTCTGTGGAGGAAACCACTACTATACAACTGTTACTCTGGATTTCGCCATACTTTTGACGAGATTGTGATTAACGGGATTGTCTTTTTAGTACCCAGTTCAAATTAAATTGCAACCCTGTCAATCTATCAAAAAACCCTTCTGTCGATTGTTACTAGATTCAGGATAGTCACCGTCCATATTTCTACATCAGAGTAAATCAGTTCTCCTGAACGGACTGCGCAGGGGGGGATGGGGGTTACTCTTGCTGATCTGAATTAAGAAGGTAAGTTTCCAGGACGCTCAGATCAGCGAGAGTAGCCTCCCTTTATTATTTCTTCAGGAGAAGTAACTCAGTTAAATGATTTGAAGGAAGCTAGTAGAGAAGTGTTCTATTCTATTCTTCTATTATAAGTCATTGATCCATAAACGACATTTAGAGGTTGAGATCACATTAATTAACAGGACAGAATAACATAGTCTACTACTCCTTAGTTTGATTGTACACAACTTTTAAACAATTTACATTGTCATCATCAGTGGAAATGAGGAAGTATAATTCTAACAAGTTATATAGATACTTGAATAATATGCAATAAACAAGTATCAAATAAATTAAGATCAGCGAGAGTAGCCTTGCTTACTTTCTAAAATTACACTTAGTTACTTCCCTTTTAGATCTCCGACTGAGAGGGAGATAACTCTCAGATAAGTTACCTCCCTTATTACAATAGTCAATTTACTATTTTTATTAATTAAGATTGTCCAGGCTGTGGTGTGGGCAAGGCGAGTTGTTCTAAAGGAGTTACCTGCTCTTCAAACTGTGGCTATATCTCTAGTCTCAACTATCCAGACGTCTATCCAGTCTCATCAGATTGTTCCTGGACAATTAAGGGACAAATCGGGCAGTATGTTGAAGCCTCGTTTCTTCAGCTAGATGTTCTGGGATCCGACGAATGTGATGGAGATTTTGTGAGGTTGTACGATGAGGGTCTTACTGAAGAAAGGCATTCTCTAGGAAAGTTTTGTAGAGATAGGCGACCTATTTCCAACATTAATACAAACTGGAATGAAATGGCAGTGGAATTTTATTCTGATTTTGATGAAACATCCAGTGGTTTTATGTTGCGATATGAATTGAAGACGATCAGGTTGCAGAATAACACAGTGATAGGTGATTTAGGTAGGAATAATGAAATAAAATAATTTACCACATAGTACTCTATATCACCTATCTATGACAAGAGATTAGTTACAAAAGTCGGTGGAAAATAATACAATAATACAGACAATAATGTTGTATCCTTGGCATTTTTGTTAGCTCTGAATCTTAATAATTGTATAAAATGTTTTGTAGGATAGAGTTCTAAAATCTTGTGTCTGATTCATTTTGATTCTATTTGGTGAATAAAATATGTTTAAATCAAAAGTATTCAAGCTTACCTTACTTAAAATGAAGTTTGAAATTTCAGGATGTCCACCAGCATGGTTTCGTTTTGGTGAAAACTGTTATAAATTTGGCAGAAGTGGTCAACCAATCACGTGGACAGAAGCACGGTTGCTATGTCAACAGGAAGGCGGCCATCTTGTTAGTATTAATGACGTCATTGAGATGGAATTTCTTCATTCTACGATGTTGATACAGAAACCCTTTCCTGATCATAATGCTTATATTGGTAAGAAACAATTTTTTCCTCTCAGGCTTTCTGAACCAAAATACCAAATTCTTATCAGCAACAAACACGAGAAGAAAACAATATTATTCCAGATGACAATATCAATAAGGTAGTGCGAGAATAAATCATGTAACCAATGAAATCAATTAAGATGACAATAAAGTTGAAGCTAGGTGTCTTCAGAAATAAAGGGAATGTCATTAATCACTTGTTATATTATGTCAAAGCAAGACATCCAAGTCTGTCAAGTACATCGCACATTTTCAGTTCTACATTTAAGCACTGTTGGATTATTTTCTTGACACAACAATCTGGTTTCGAGTTGTCTTACCTCAGTAATGTACGGAATGTGATTCAATCTGTAGGTTTACAGAAGTCTCTATCTGGTGGATTTACATGGGATGATGGATCACCCCTGTCCTACTCGGCATGGTATGAAAATATACAGGACGGTAGGAGACAACCAGATGGGTTTAACCAGGAATTATGTACTATGTTAATAATCTCCAGTATAAGATCGTTAGATTCGTGGCATGACGTAGCCTGTTCTTATAATAAGCTGTATCAATATATCTGTGAACAACCTGGATCAGAAGAAGAGAGAGGTCTGTATATCAGGTACATCAAGTACCTATAAATCTATGCCGAGCTGCGAATCTTAGTAATTGACCGAGGCTACAGTGGCTATTGAATCTGTTGTAAATCCACATCCGTTTTGGTTCGGGGAAATATTAATGAAAAGTAAATCAGTGATTATGACAGTGTCTTCAATTGTTAATTGTGTTAATTACAGTTATCTCCCTTGTAGCACATATTTCAGCTGTAAATCCCGTACTATATCCTCAGGACAGGAGACGTATGGACGTCATCAACATAGGAATGAAATATTCAGGATGAAAACACCGGGCCAGCACCAACCCACCCCCACACTCACACCCCTTGAAACGTCACTGACGTAAGAATCTGATATGTTTTGATTGAATTTGATTTTAATTGTAGATCCGTTGAGTATAACAAGTGAGGTACCTCCACCGTCCAGGTTTTATCACCAGTGTACAACAGGTGGACACTATATTTCTACAGTGTATGTATGTGATGGTACAGAGGATTGTCAGGACGGTTCAGATGAACAAGACTGTGGTAGGCATATATTTACCAATCTTTAAATGTCTGTTAGGCTAGAATCAAAGTAACAGCAGTATTCCTCCTATTTAAGAATTGTGCAGGATTTTTTGTTTAAATTGGCATGTCATTTTTAGACTTCTACTTTAAAACTTTGAGAGTTACATTGTAACCTTGTTACAATAAATGAATTTCTTTTGCGTTTCCTTGGAGAAAGTTAGATGGATGACATTTGTGGGACTCTTGTCAAGTTTTAAATCAATTATTCTTATCTACATTACAGAATCGAACAGAATTAGAATGCCGTATATGAAATTCAACAAACCATTTTCTTTATTTCCAGACCCTCGCTGTCTCGACTCGATGTTTACCTTTTTTTATTTCCAGACCCTCGCTGTCCCGACTTGATGTTTACCTGTTTTGTTTATTTCCAGACCCTCGCTGTCATGACTTGATGTTTACCTGTTTTGTTTATTTCCAGACCCTCGCTGTCCCGACTTGATGTTTATCTGTTTTGTTTATTTCCAGACCCTCGCTGTCCCGACTTGATGTTTATCTGTTTTGTTTATTTCCAGACCCTCGCTGTCCCGACTTGATGTTTACCTGTTTTGTTTATTTCCAGACCCTCGCTGTCCCGACTCGATGTTTACCTGTTTTGTTTATTTCCAGACCCTCGCTGTCATGACTTGATGTTTACCTGTTTTGTTTATTTCCAGACCCTCGCTGTCCCGACTCGATGTTTACCTGTTTTGTTTATTTCCAGACCCTCGCTGTCATGACTTGATGTTTATCTGTTTTGTTTATTTCCAGACCCTCGCTGTCTCGACTCGATGTTTACCTGTTTTGTTTATTTCCAGACCCTCGCTGTCCCGACTTGATGTTTATCTGTTTTGTTTATTTCCAGACCCTCGCTGTCATGACTCGATGTTTATCTGTTTTGTTTATTTCCAGGCCTTCGCTGCCATGACTCGATGTTTATCTGTTTTGTTTATTTCCAGACCCTCGCTGTCTCGATTCGATGTTTACCTGTTTTGTTTATTTCCAGACCCTCGCTGTCATGACTCGATGTTTATCTGTTTTGTTTATTTCCAGGCCTTCGCTGCCATGACTCGATGTTTATCTGTTTTGTTTATATCCAGACCCTCGCTGTCCCGACTCGATGTTAACCTGTTTTGTTTATTTCCAGACCCTCGCTGTCCCGACTCGATGTTAACCTGTTTTGTTTATTTCCAGACCCTCGCTGTCCCGACTTGATGTTTACCTGTTTTGTTTATTTCCAGACCCTCGCTGTCCCGACTTGATTTTTACCTGTTTTGTTTATTTCCAGACCCTCGCTGTCCCGACTTGATGATTACTTGTTTTGTTTATTTCCAGACCCTCGCTGTCCCGACTTGATGTTTACCTGTTTTGTTTATTTCCAGACCCTCGCTATCCCGACTCGATGTTTACCTGTTTTGTTTATTTCCAGACCTCCACTGTCCCGACTTGATGTTTATCTGTTTTGTTTATTTCCAGACCCTCGCTGTCCCGACTCGATGTTTACCTGCTTTTGTTTATTTCCAGACCCTCGCTGTCCCGACTTGATGTTTACCTGTTTTGTTTATTTCCAGACCCTCGCTGTCATGACTTGATGTTTACCTGTTTTGTTTATTTCCAGACCCTCGCTGTCCCGACTTGATGTTTATCTGTTTTGTTTATTTCCAGACCCTCGCTGTCCCGACTTGATGTTTATCTGTTTTGTTTACTTCCAGACCCTCGCTGTCCCGACTTGATGTTTACCTGTTTTGTTTATTTCCAGACCCTCGCTGTCCCGACTCGATGTTTACCTGTTTTGTTTATTTCCAGACCCTCGCTGTCATGACTTAATGTTTACCTGTTTTGTTTATTTCCAGACCCTCGTTGTCCCGACTCGATGTTTACCTGTTTTGTTTATTTCCAGACCCTCGCTGTCATGACTTGATGTTTATCTGTTTTGTTTATTTCCAGACCCTCGCTGTCTCGACTCGATGTTATCTGTTTTGTTTATTTCCAGACCCTCGCTGTCATGACTTGATGTTTATCTGTTTTGTTTATTTCCAGACCCTCGCTGCCATGACTTGATGTTTATCTGTTTTGTTTATTTCCAGACCCTCGCTGCCATGACTCGATGTTTATCTGTTTTGTTTATTTCCAGACCCTCGCTGTCCCGACTCGATGTTTACTTGTAACAATAAACAATGTATCAACATGTTGTTTTACTGTGATTTTACTCCGCATTGTTCAGATTCGTCTGACGAGATTTCCTGTGGTAAGCAACGGTTTAATTTATCAATACCAACAGAACAAGCAAAATATCATACAAGAATCGACATTTTCTACTAGACACCTGATACCACATTTTATTACTATTTTTTTTTATTTACTAACCCATGTTAATAAGCTGCTACCAATGTTTCGCCAGTATGCTGTTTTGGGTTTCGGGTTCAGATAGTTAGTACTTTGTTTATTGATTAAGAATTATCAAATTTCATACAATGGTGAATCTATTGAATTGGTGATGTTAATTTCATAAAGGTATTTTTCTGTTAGATTTTATTAAAAAGGATCCAAATTATAATTTCGTGTATTAAAGGGAGACAACTATTAATCAATGGGATGATTAGATATCAACTCTGTATTTCAGTTTATTCTAATTGTAATAATAACACATGGAGATGTCATTCAGGACAGTGTATATCAATAGATAGAAGATGTGATTTAATACCAGATTGTTTGGATCAATCAGATGAACAGGGTTGTGGTAAGAAACCTTCAAGGGGTTGTGAAAGTGGTTGTCTTGAATCAGGACACTGATAGCATACGTTTGCATTATTCCAATTGTTATTAGGTGTTTTAGACATAAATTAGAGCTTTTACAGTTAGATATCAGTAATTAGTTGTATATGACAGTCAGAATATTGCCGGAGAACT